ACCGGTATGACGCTATACACAGGTGCGATTCAAGCAGCAATAATATATACAAACATGTCTCACACTCACTCTCCTCTAACAGCATCCTTGCCATGCATCAGCACATCAGGCGAGCGCTGGTGGCAGCGGCGCAAGACACAGCAAGAGACGTGCGCTGCCTCATCATCATCATCATCATCATGAGCATGCAGCATTCACATTTGATTGTCGAGGCGTCGCGTACATCAGCTTGAGCGAGTCATGAACCTTGATGTATGCCGTCGGTCCATCACGAATGACGCCAAGGGGAGTCAGTGGCTGCGGCTGTGTCAGCCAGGGCGTACGCGCGCGACGCCCTGCAACGTATAGCGCCGGCAAGCTGCAAGGATGGAATGAATGTCTCTACATGGCGCACGCAGTGTGCAACGCAATCATCATGCCAGCATCCAGCCTCGACTCGCGACTGCTCCTTGTTTGTTTCGCCGCAGCCAGCCGCCTCCCATTGGCGCATTCACGCCCGCGCATGTCCAGGATGGGGCAATGAAGCTTATAGCTCTTCGCAATCGGCAAAGTCGTCCGCGAGAGCTCTGAACACGGTTTAATCCGAGGCGCAACTTTCTTCATCTTGGCACGAGGGGAAAGTCCGATCGATGCGCACCGCTGTATGCGATACCTTGCGCAAGGGAGAACGCAGAGAGGGTCGAGAGGGCTTGAACATAAAGTCGCATGGATCAGCGTCCAGCTTCACCACATCATCCTTCGACACCAAGCAGCACAATTACTGGTGTCCCTCACTAGCACGTCTTTCCCCATTTCAAGTCCTTTGTCTTTGCACAGCTCGCAGGTGCTGTCAAGAAGCAAGCATTTAGCTGATCACATGATCGTCTTGAGTGCACACTCGACACGCTCGTGCTGCTCAAGAAAAGTATCAAACTCAAGATGGCCAAGACTTTTACCTTTGTCGCCCTTGCTTGCGCGTGGCTATCCATGTGAGTATACGCAGTTCAAGGTGGATGAGTACATCAAGCGATGCCTTGATGAACAAAGCGCACCTTCTCTAGCTCCCTTCGCGCTTCCGCTCGTACTCTGCTTGAGCGTGCAACTCCACATCCTTCACAGCCAATCTCGCAAACAGATCCTGATGCGCGACGTGGAGAAGAGCCCAGTTTCTCGTCCCAGGCTGGACGTCAA